CACGCCGCCGCCGCCGCCACCACCGGGAAGGCAGCCGGCGCCGAGCAAGTTGCGAGCGCGCCTCTCCGCCCGGGGAAAGTTTCCCCCGCGGCCGCCGGCGGGAGTTGGCGCGGGGTCCGGCTGCTGCTGCTGGAAGGTAGGGGGGTCCGCACCTCCGCGCCCTCCGTGCGCCCCGCGGCTGCGTCCCCGGGGATTTGGAGACCCCGGGCGCGCTCCCCGCCCCCCCCGGCGACTGTTGGGCACGGTCGGGGGTGGGGATGGAACGGGGGAGGGATCCCAGAACGGTCCCGGGGAAGCCCAGAAACCAAGTTCTACTTAAACTAGCCTGGGGAGGGGGCAGGGGAGAAGTGCTCGCCCCGATCCCCGCCCCGGATCCCTGCCCCGAATCCGCGGGCTAGAAGCTTCCCCCCCAGACAGGTGCAGCCCCAGTCGGCGCTGGGCGGTCTGGATGGGTGAGTGGGGGGCGTCGGGAGGATGGCGGGGGGTAGCAGGTGTGGTTAACAAGGTTGGGGTCTCAGCGGGGGCTGCGCCCCGAGGGCGGGGGTGCGCACCAGGCCACTCTGTAGGAGGTCAGGTAGAGACTAGGGATTAGGAGCGAAGATCCGGGCCGGCAGGATTGTTGGGCCCAGCCAGGGCACCGAGGGCGGGCCGCCTTTGGGGTCCCAGCAGCCGGGCGGGGCGGGCGGGGCAGGGGCGCCACGCTTTCCTCCCGGGTCCCCCTTATCCCGTACGCGGTGTGCGCGGTTTGGGGAAGCGAAGCGGAGACTCCGTGGGTGCTCGGTGGATCCGAGCCTCTCTGGCACGTCCAGATTTAGGGTGTATAATAGGAGTCCTCTGGGAGGGTTGCTTGGCTCGGGTGGGCTCGCGCCAGCTTTGGATCCCCGCTAGGTTGAGGTGAGTTGGCCCCCGCCAGGGGGAGCCCTTCCCCGGCCCTTTCACCCACAGGAAGGCGAGTCCTGGTTCCTGCGAGACCATTGCACCGAAATCCAGGACCTACAACCACAGACCCTCCAACACGCGCGGGGCTCCCACGCGAAGGAGCACCCCCCGGCCCCGTCCGACGGCGGGGGAGAGGTCCGAGCGTGAAGCTGGGGTGCACCGTGTGCAGGAAAGCTTGGTAGTCAGGAGGTGGCTTTTCTTGGGGAGCAGGCAAGGTGTATGGGTGAATAAAAAATTCACCCCCAGAAAAACAACAACGAGGGAAACTTTAACAGCGAATTGGTGTAGAGAAAGGGGATGAGAGGATCAACTTGTCGAGGTTTCTTTGGGGTCTGCAGCCCAAATTGCTGAATGCACCCTTCTTGTAAAAGTTGTACCTTTGTTTCCTGGATGTGGCCAGATGGTGTGGGCTGGATGACGGTTTGGGGGTACCCCTCTTATCCATCCTCTCTCTGGGCACAGTAAGCTGGCAGGCACAGGACCCGGGTCATGAGGGCCCCTTAAGGATTTCAGCAGTCCGTGCTGAAGTGGTGGATTTCTCAGACGGGGACAAGGGTCCCTCCACTCTTGGGTTTGGGTCTACAGGCCACGTTCATCAGGTCATTTCACAGCTGTTAGTGGACACCTGTGGTGTGTTCCGTTTTCTGACCTCAGGGCCCCCGTGAGTGGATCCTGTGTATCTGTGTCGCGGCCTTGGGAAGCAGGACTGCTGCGGGCATCTCTGAAGAGCCTTAGCTTTGTCCTGTTAGGGCCTGCTCGACATTGAACGCGGCCCGAAGTGCGTCCTCTTTCTCTTTAATTCCCTCCCTCCTCCCTGCACCCCAAGAGAGGACAAATGAGCAAATCAAAGACTGGGCAGTGGCCTCATAGTGGCCGTGGGAAGTTTTCATGTGTCTCTTGGCTAGCAATGTGTGCTCACTGGACAGCCCCTCCCCCTCCCGTGTCCCCAGAGTCCCCTGCAAAGGTGATGGAAATGGGGGCAGACCCGGAAAGAGAGTTAGTTGAGGCTCTGGCTTTCCATACAGCCCACCACATGTTTTTGCTGGATGTTACCAAAATGCTGTAGGGCCGAGGTGCCATAAAGAAAGATCAGCATGATTTTTATTTTGAACAGAAAGGGTGGGGGGAGGAGACAGAGGAAAGGGTGGAGAGGCCCGATGGATGTCTCTGGATATGTCTTCAAGACATTCCACGGGGCCCGAAAACAAAAGGAGTTTTGGGTCGTGTTTTGTTTTTAGTGGCTCTTATTTCTCTGCAGGGGAAAGCCTGCCAGGCACAGCCCTGCCCCTGGGACCTGGGTGTGAGCACGGGTCCCTTGAGGGCGGGCAGCTCCTGTGTACCCCTTCTTTCTGTCCCCCACCCATGGCCCACCCCACCTGCCCTAAGGAGAGGAGGGAACTGAGACCCCAGGGCCGCTGGTGCTTGTGTTTGGGTAGCATATCACGTGTGGACCCGGTGTAAACTCCAAGATCTCTGATTCAGCAAAATTTCAAGTCTTGGAAATTCAGTCTCCTTATCTCCCTGTCCCTAAATCCATCCCAACACTGGCCCTCAGGACATCTTTACCCAACCCCAAGGCTGAAATGGCAGTCTACCGGGGCACTTTCCAGAAGCAGAAGTTCCTCTGGAGTTAGAGTTAGGATACTTTGGGTCATCTACGAAGTATTCCCTCCTCCTTTAAAAAATTCCACCTCAGCCTAGAAAGAGCTACCAAGTTACTGGATGAGGTTTTAGTGGTGTGGGGGTGGGCTGGAACACAGGGTGCTGGGCGAGACAGGAGGGGGAAGGGGTGTTGAGGCAAGGAATTACGGCAGGGATTTGTGGGAGGGGGTAAGGAGGGGAAGAAACAGCAAGGTTTGGGGGCTGCCTTGAAATCTACCTTTTCTGGATCAGCAGTGTGGTTTTGGGCGAGTCACTTTCGGCCTTGAATCTGCTTCCCCAGTCTGTAAACTGAACGTGTTGGCCCAGGAGATCTGGCTGGGCTTGCAGCTTAAAGGCAGGAGGGTATAACCTCTTAGGGAAGCAGGCAGCCCTTGCTCTGCCTTGAGTGCAGTGGAGAGCACCTCTCCCGCTGTCTTGCCCCACCCTGCCCCACCCCTGCACAACAGAATGAGCCAGGTTTCCGTCCCCCATCGGACCGCTGTTTTGGACAGAGAAGGTAATGTCGGTGACCAGTGCTTGCGTGTCTAGCCCTCACTCCCCTTCCCTGAGGAGAGCACATGTTGGTGGCTGGGCCGCCCCTCTGAGGGACCCCTCTTTCCAGAGGGCTGCTCTTCTGGCCTATTTCATCAGTGGAGAGAAGGAAAATCAGGAACATTTGTTCGTGCTCAGCTGGTACACCGCAGAGGGAGGGGGGCTTTGGAAACCAGCACTTTGTTCCCCCGGAGCAGATGATCGGTCGATCGGGTATTTCTGCAACCTGATGCCATGGAGCAAACCTGGCAGCTTGGATTCCTCCTGCTGCACGGGCTGGCACCTTGGACCTGAATCAGCACTTGGATCCCGCAGCGGGGGGGTGGGGTGGGAGGGATGGGTGTGTGTGCAGAGAAGGAAACTCTTTTTGAAAAGAAAAGGTGAGATGATGAGCCCCAGTGTTTGCAGCTAGCAAAGTAGGTCTTTCATGTCAGCACTGATTATCTTAAGGTCCAACCCTTGTCCGTTGTCTGCACCCAAGACTGCTGTTTTAATTAACGAATTGAGCAACTTGGAGATGAGCATAAGCATGTTCACTGGTCCTGCGCGCGCATGCGTGGACCGAGAGGCAACAGGGGGTGTGGGAAGGTCCCTGAACCCTGAGTAAGGAGACTTGTGTTTGAGCCCTGATTCTCTTGCAAATGGAGCTTTGTGACCTCAGGGAGTCACTGCCCCTCTCTGAGCCTGTTTTGCTGTTTCTTTAGCAGCAATATTGTGTGGTGGTTAGGCTTCCCCGGGTTTGAATGTCGGTATTCTCCTACAGATTGGCTGTGTGACCTTAGGCCATTCAGCCTCTCGTGCCTCAGTTTCCTGATCTGCAAAACGGGAGGAATCATACCTCATCAGATTTTTTGTGAATCGTCAATGAGATAGAACATGTGGAACACTTAGGACAGTGCCCTGCATGCGGTAGATGCTCAGCAAATGTTCGCTCTCATCACGGTCATTACGTGAAATGGGAGGGGTCAATTTTGATTCTTTCCAGCTCTGATATACTGGGGCTTGGCGCGCGCACGTGTGTGTGTGTGTGTGTGTGTGTGTGTGTGTGTGTGTGTGTGAGGGCGGGGAAGAGTCTGCTTTGAGAATGGAAGACACGAGTGAATAAAATAAATTGCTTTTTTCCCCCTTCCTTTCCCTCCCTCACTGAGGGACGCCCGAGTTAAAACCTTGTGAGTATTCGCATGATAGCCCCATCCCCATGGCAGGAAGCCCAGTGTGACGTCACTGAAAATATCCCGGCTTCTGGCACTTGAGGGATGATATTTCCTCCCCTAGTGTTTGCCCATCCTCTCCCTTCCATCCTTTGTTTCCCGCCCTGAACCATAGTATGAAGACCATATGTGCAGATAATGAGTTTAAGCTGATAAACAATTCCCAGAGTCACCCAAATAAAAGGCTGTCTTGCTAGAAGACACTTGTGACTTTAAAATAAATAACCTGACTTCTCTGCTCTGTTGCATTACATCGGACCGGCCCTGCTTCCCTCTTTGTCTTCTGCCCCTTGGTCTGCTGCGGACACATGGGCCAGGCCAGTGTGTGTCCTGGGCTTTATGGGCCCCCAGCTGGGGGCAGCCTCCTCCCGCTGCCCCTCTGCCTCACCCCCTCCAGCAAGGCTGGTGCCCTGAGCCCTCCCAGGGATGATCTTCGTGGTGGGTCACGTTGTGGGCATGCTCACCATCGACCAGCATCTAGATAGCTCTTCATCCCATCTGCACCCACCAGGCTGGTTCAGATCTCGTCCCCATTTTACAGATGTTAAAGTGAGGCTCCGAAAAATCAAGCAAGAAAATGGTTGTACTGGGATTTGAACCTAGGTCAATCTGTTTGCCCATCCGGGGCTCTAAACCCCTGTGTGATATTTCCTCCTCGTGTATTATATCAGACAGAACCTCCTGTGAGCCCCAAAGCCCCAGGAATGATAGCTTTGAGATTCCGTCAGGCCCTGTCCTCCCTGCTTTTGCTCGGCTTCCAGGCTCAGTGCCTGAAGAGACTCCTTCTTTTCTC